GCTATTCTTCCTCTGAGACCCTTTTAGGGGGAATGGGAGAGGTGTCAGGTCCCAGAGGCAATGCATTGCATTATTGTTATTGTTATGATGGTGGTAAAATAAAAGGAAATAAAAAGTGAAAGAAGGAAGCAAACAGGGAGGGAAGAAAGGCAAAGGAAGAAAGGGGGAGGGAATGAAGGAAAGAGAGAAGGATGAAACCAAGTAGTGAAAGAAAGAAAGAGGTAGAGAAGGAAGAAAGGAGAGAAAGGGGGAGGAAAAGGGGGAAGGAATAGGTAGGCACCACTCTTTCATAATAGTCCAGATATCTACCTCAACTTTGATAAGTTTTACTATAGGCCACAGCAACGCGTGGCAGGGCACAGCTAGTAATATATAAATTATATACGGATTTTCTCATTTTCTAAAAAATTAAATAACATTAATGACAAAAAATTGCAATTAATTTATTATTTATTATTATTATAAATAAATACAAAAAATTGCAATTAAAAATTATTTTTTGAAAAATGAGATCATAAAATAATTATTATATTATATACACATACACAAACATATATATAGTAAAGTATTTTTATAGTTTTTCTTCCTTTCTTACGTTTTTTTTAAAAAAATTATGTTGACACGTGACTCGCGTTTCTCACGTGCCGCTCATCACGTGTAAACATCTGGGAGAAAAACATCCAACCAAAGGGCCAGGTCTGACGTCAGACGCCCTGCCAAGGAATGAATGGAAGACATGGCTCCGCCTTCCCTTTGAGCGCCGCACGCGATTGGCTCTTCCCGCTGTCACAGTGACAACCACGCCTTCTTCTCCCTGGCTTAATGAATTGATGGAAATTGTACTCTGGCTTGTGATTGGCTCTTCGCGCTGTCACAGTGACATCTTGTGCTCCCGCCTCTCAAGAGCGCTGATTAGAGGAGCGGCCAATGTGGATGCAAACCGGGGCTACCTTCCCTCCGATTGGCTCTTCGCGCTGTCACAGTGACATCCCCGCCTCCTCCTCCGTAAATGGAGAAGCGGCGGCCAGAGCTCTTACATCACTTGGCTTGCTTAATGATTGGATGGATGGAGAGCGGTGGCACCGCCTTCCCTTTGAACGCCGCTTGCCATTGGCTCTTCGCGCTGTCATAGCGACATCCGCACCTCCTATTGGCTCCTCCAGCTGTCACAGTGACATCCCCGCCTCCTCATCCGTAATTGGAGAAGCGGCGGCCACAGATCTTACATCACTCGCCTTGCTTAATGATTGGATGGATGGAGAGCGGTGGCACCGCCTTCCCTTTGAACGCCGCTTGCCATTGGCTCTTCGCGCTGTCATAGCGACATCCTCGCCTCCTATTGGCTCCTCCAGCTGTCACAGTGACATCCCCTCCTCCTCATCCGTACTTGGAGAAGCGGCGGCCACAGCTCTTACATCACTCGCCTTGCGTAATGATTGTATGAATATAGGGCGGTGGCACCGCCTTTCCTTTGAACACCGCCTCCCATTGGCTCCTCTAGCTGTCACAGTGACATCTCCGCCTCCGCAATTGGAGAAGCGGCGGCCACAGCTCTTACATACTCGCCTTGCTTAATGATTGGATGAATAGAGGGCGGTGGCACCGCCTTGCCTTTGAACGCCGCTTGCCATTGGCTCTTCGCGCTGTCACAATGACATCCGCACCTCCTATTGGCTCCTCCAGCTGTCACAGTGACATCCCCGCCTTCTACTCCCTGACTGGAGTAGCGGCGTCAAGAGAAGCCGAGGCGGTGGCACCGCCTACTTTTGAACGCCGCTTGCCATTGGCTCTTCGCGCTGTCATAGCGACATCCTCACCTCCTATTGGCTCCTCCAGCTGTCACAGTGACATCCCCGCCTCCTCCTCCGTAATTGGAGAAGCGGCGCCCACAGCTCTTACATCACTCGCCTTGCTTAATGATTGGATCAATATAGGGCGGTGGCACCGCCTTGCCTTTGAACGCCGCCTACCATTGGCTCTTTGTGCTGTCATATTGACATCCTCACCTCCTATTGGCTCCTCCAGCTGTCACAGTGACGTCCCTGCCTTCTGCTCCCTGATTGGAGGAGCGTCGTCGTGAAGAGACGTCTAAGGGAGGAAGGCGTGTCAGGATTGTGCCTGTCTGCGCCTGCGTAGAAGCGCGGCGCCTGATTGGATAGCGCTCGGCGTGGTGGGCGTGGCCTCGGAGCGGGGACGAGGAGGAGGCCAAACAAAGATGGCGGCGCCTGAGGCGAGCGGCCTAGTCGTTTCGGCGGAGGCCTCTCGCACCACCGGGTGAAGAGAAACAGAGAGAGAAGAGATGTCGGGGCCGGACGAACGCGAGGCTGGAGCTGGAGGAGGAGGAGGCGTGGGGGCCGGGGCTGCCGTGGCGGCGCTGGGGGAGGCCGCGGGCCCTGTCCCGGGCGGCGCTGACGAAGCGGGTCCTCCTCTCGGGCCTGGAGTGGCCGCGGGAGGCGGCGGGGGAGGCCGGCAAGCGGAGCCGGGGGCAGAGCGGGACTCGGACGCGCCGCCCAAGAAGCGCCTCAAGCTCCCCGGAGGCGCCGAAGGAGGAGGTGGAGGCGGCGGGGGAGTGAAGCTGGAGGAGCGGCTCTACTCCGTGCTCTGCTGCACCGTCTGCCTCGACCTGCCCAAGGCCTCCGTCTACCAGGTGAGAGACAGAGAGAGAGGGAGACAGGCCAGGCCCGCCACGCCGCCTCTTTCTTCCCCTCAGGAGGAAAAAGAAAATGGCCGCGCTCCCCTCCTCCTTCTTCTCCCTCAGAGGAAAGAGGGGGACCCCCCCCCCCCAGGCTGAGCATTCTGGGAACGCCTCGCCTTTCATTCTCTTCGCCTTTATTGTTATTGTTATTAGGTCTGTTTCTATCCCGCTTTTTCTCCCCTTCCACACAGCTGTGTAAAAACCCCACATTATCTGCTTTGAACTGAAATATATGGCAGTGTGGCACAGAGCCCTTCATCCCAGAATAGCAAGGCAGAAAATCCCACATTATCTGCTTTGAATTGGGATATATGGCATTGTGGACTCAGGCTCTTCCGTAGCCCTATATCTCAGAATATCAAGGTGGAAAATGCCACATTATCTGGCATTGTGAAGTCAGGGCCCTTCCATAGCCCTATATCTCAGCATATCAAGGTGGAAAATGCCACATTATCTGCTTTGAACAGAGATATATGGCAGGGTGGAAACAGAGCCCTTCATCCCAAAATATCGAGGCAGAAAATCCCACATTATTTGCTTTGAATTGGGATATATGGCATTGTGGACTCAGGGCTCTTCCATAGCCCTATATCTCAAAATATCAAGGTGGAAAATGCCACATTACCTGCTTTGAACTGGGATATATGGCGGTGTGGACTCAGGGCCCTTCCACACAGCCCTATATCAAGGCAGAAAATCGCATATTATCTGCTTTGAACTGGGATATATGGCAGTGTGGACACAGAGTCCTTCATCCCAGAATATCAAGGCAGAAAATCCCACATTATTTGCTTTGAACTGAGATATATGGCAGTGTGGACACAGAGCCCTTCATCCCAGAATATCAAGGCAGAAAAGTCCACATTATCTGCTTTGAACTGAGATATATGGCAGTGTGGAATCAGGGTCCTTCATCCCAGAATATCAAGACAGAAAAGCCCACATTATTTGCTTTGAACTGAGATATATGGCAGGTGTGGACTCAGGGCCCTTCTACACAGCCAAATATCCCTGAATATCAAGGCATAAAATCCCATATGATCTGCTTTGAACTGGGATAAATGGCAGTGTGAATTCAGGGCCCTTCCACACAGCCCTATAACCCTGAATATAAACGCAGAAAATTCCACATGATTTGGGATATATAGTATTGTGGACTCAGGTCCCTTCTACACAGCCCTATATCTCAGAATATCAAGGCAGAAAATCCCACATTACCTGCTTTGAACTGGGATAAATGGTAGTGTGGACGCAGTGCTCCTCCATAGCCCTATATCCCTGAATATCAAGGCGGACAATCCCACATTATCTGCTCTGAACTGGGATATATGGCATTGTGGACTCAGGCTCTTCCATAGCCCTATATCCCAGAATATCAAGGCAGAAAATCCCACATTATCTGCTTTGAACTGTGGACTCAGGGCCCTTCCACACAGCCAAATATCCCAGAATATTAAGGCAGAAAATCCCACATTATCTGCTTTGAATTGGGATATATGGCAGTGTGGAATCAGGGCCCTTCATCCCAGAATATCAAGGCAGAAAATCCCACAATATCTACTTTGAATTGGGATATATGGCAGTGTGGAATCAGGGCCCTTCATCCCAGAATATCAAGGCAGAAAAGCCCACATTATCTGCTTTGAATTGGGATATATGGCAGTGTGGAATCAGGGCCCTTCCACACAACCCTATAACCCTGAATATCAATGCAGAAAAGCCCACATTATCTGCTTTGAACTGTGGACTCAAGGCCTTTCCACACAGCCAAATATCCCAGAATATCAAGGGAGAAAATCCCACATTATCTGCTTTGAACTGGGATATATGGCAGTGTGAACTCAGGGCCCTTCATCCCAAAATATCAAGGCAGAAAATACCACATTATTTTCTTTGAACTAGGATATATGGCAGTATGGAGTCAGGGCCCTTCCACACAGCCCTATATCCCAGAATATCAAGGCAGAAAATACCACATTATCTGCGTTGAACTGCAATAAATGGCAATGTGGACTCAGAGCTTTTCCACACAACCCTATATTCCTGATTATCAAGGCAGAAAATCTCACATGATCTGGGATATATAGCATTGTGGACTCAGAGCCCTTCTACTCAGCCCTATATCCCTGAATATCAAGGCAGAAAATCCCACATTATCTATTTTGAACTGTGGACTCAGGACCCTTCCACACAACCTATATCCCTGAATATCAAGACAGAAAATCCCACATTATCTGCTTTGAACTGGGATATATGGCAGTGTGGACTCAGGCTCTTCCATAGCCCTATATCCCTGAATATCAAGAAAGAAAATCCCACATGATCTGGGATATATATCATTGTGGACTCAGGGACCTTCATCCCAAAATATCAAGGCAGAAAATCCCACATTACCTGCTTGAACTGGGATATATAGCAGTGTGGACTCAGAGGGCCCTTCTACACAGCCCTATAACCCTGCATATCAAGGCAGAAAATCCCATGTGATCTGCTTTGAACTGGGATATATGGCATTGGGGACTCAGGCTCTTCCATAGCCCTATATCCCTGAATATCAAGGCAGAAAATCCCACAGTACCTGCTTTCAACTGGAATAAATGGCAGTGTGGACACAGGGCCCTTCCACACAGCCCTATATCCCAGAATATCAAGGCAGAAAATCCCATATGATCTGCTTTGAACTGGGATAAATGGCAGTGTGGACTCAGGGCCCTTCCACACAGCCCTATATTCCTGAATAGCAAGGCAGAACATCCTACATTATCAGCTCTGACCTGGGATATATGGCATTGTGGACTCAGACTCTTCCATAGCCCTATATCCCTGAATATCAAGCAGAAAATCCAACATTATCTGTTTTGAACTGTGGACTCAGGGCCCTTCCACACAGCCCTATATCCAAGAATATCAAGGAAGAAAATCCCACATTATCTGCTATGAATTGGGATATATGGCAGTGTGGACTCAGGGCCCTTCCACACAGCCCTATAACCCTGAATATCAAGGCAGAAAATCCCACATTATCTGCTTTGAACTGGGATAAATGGCAGTGTGGAATCAGGCCCTTCTACACAGCCCTATAACCCTGAATATTAAGGCAGAAAATCCCACATGATCTGCTTTGAATTGGGATATATGGCAGTAGGGGCTCAGGGCTCTTCTACACAGCCCAATATCCCTGAATATCAAGGCCCAAAATCCCACAATATCTGCTTTCAACTGGGATATATGGCAGTGTGGACTCAGGGTCCTTCCACACAGCCCTATATCCCTGAATATTAAGGCAGAAAATCCCACATGATCTGCTTTGAATTGGGATATATGGCAGTGTGCACTCAGGGCCCTTCCACACACTGCCATATATTCCAGTTCAAACCAGATAGTGCGATTTTCTGTCTTGATATTCTGGGATACAGCGCTATATGGAAGGGCCCTGGAGCAACACAAAGCCCTTTCAGTTCACCCAGGTGCCAAAGTTAACCTGCCATTGCTACTTTCCCAGGTGAAGCCTTCAGCACCTCCTTTATTTCCTTCAAAGTTGTGGGTAATCTCTTTGTAACCTTCTCACAAAAAATACGGAGGGGGGGTTTCCTCTTGTCTCACTTTTGAGCCTCAATTTTCTATTCAGAAGAGATTTAAATCATGTAGGTTACCAAACCCATCCCTCCAAGGCTCGCCTTTATTTCCTTTAGAGTTAGTGAGAAGCTTTTTGTAATTTTCCTTCAAAAATAGAGTGCCTTCTTGTAATTCCTCCACCACCTCCCCCAATTGGCAGACAGGGTTTGGGGGACAGTTGGGGGGGGGGGGGGGCTTTATGGAGCTCCAGAATCCCTTGCAAACCAGGAGGGGGGGCACCTTTTTTAAGAGGGGGAAAGGGAGGAGTCTCTAAAATTCTGAAGGAAACAAAAGGCAGATGAAGGCATATTAATATTCCATTGGTTTGGTACCTACATGTATTAAAGAGAGGGCTTTGTAGGGCTCTAGAATCCCTGAGTAGAAAATTGAAGCTGAGAAGTAACAAGAGGACCCCACTCCTCTTTTTTTGAGGGAAGAAAAGGAAGGGCATTTTCCATTCCAAAGGAAATAAAGAGGAAATGGGGGGGGGGGGGTTGATGGTCTATTCACATCCTTTCTGTTCCTCAAAAAAGCTCCTCCATTCTCCTGACACTCCCCTCTAATTACCTTTAAGTGCCAAACATAATGGACACACCTCACTAACATATTACATCTTCAGCTCCCCGTTCCCTTTCTCCAAAATTATGGAGAATCTCCCCGCTTTTCTTCTCTCAAAAATGGAGGTCCTTTGTCCCCCTTTCCCCTCAATTCCCTGTTTGTAAGAGTTTGGGGGCTTCTCTTTTTATTCATGTAAATACAAAACCCATCCTTCCAATGCTAAGTGATGCCTTCAGCTTCCATTTTATTTCATTCTGAAGTATGAAGTATCTCCACCCTTTCATTCCCTCAAAAACAAATGGGGGAGGCTCTTGAAATCTCTCATCCCCCAGTTTCCCATTTGCAAGGAATTCTAGAATTTGAAAGTCCCCCCTTTAAGAAACGTAGCTTGTCAAAGCAACAGCATAAGTGTTGTCTCAAACTCCTTTATTTGCTTCGCAGTTAGGAAGAATCCGCTCCCTTTCATTAAAAAAAAACAAAACCACACAATTCTTAAGGAGTTTTGTCACTCTATGAATCTTTTTCAAATACCAAAACCGCCCTCCTAGTGCCCCATTCACAGGTGTCTCTTTCTGGTCCCTAATTAAGACCTGCTCTTGGTAGCAATGCAGGCACGCCTTTTTCCTCCAGATTAAATCCAGGTGGGTGCCATTTTCAAGCAAACAGGTGTAGGAGGGTCATGGTTTCAAGGCTGCCAGGTTGGAAATTGGAGAGGCCTCCTGTCCCTTTAATGCTTGTGTGGGAGAGGGAGTTTTAGCAGGTGAGGCTTGGCACACAAC